TTCAGGTGTTTCCCTAACGGCTAGTTGGTTATGTTTGAAATATTACCAACCATCCAGTACCTTTGTACCAGTTTCAGTACCTCTAAAATCCAAGTAAACTCTTTAAATTGCAGTTTTTCTCCCTGCAAAAACTGATTTCAGCTAATCCCTTGTTACTGAAGTAGGATTTCTGCTTCATTTTCCCTTTATTTCACTCTGAGTACTTCATGCACCACTTCTCACTTTGTTCTTAGTAGTAATTTATCATCTGGTTTTTGGACTGATTATTAAAATATGAAGAGGACATGAAGTTAACTGGGGTGAGAGTAGAGGATGCTGAGGATAGAGTTAGGTGGAAACAGATTAAATATTCATTTAATGAAAGCTATCTAAGATATGCCACTCAGGAAACACTGTTTCCAGGAACATACTAGCATGGAGTTGTATGTATGTGGACAGAAACAAGGTAGAGAAAGAGTTATCTCAAAGCACTAACGCTGGATTACAAACCCATTCAGCAGCAAATTACTACCTGTAATCACTTTATAGTGAAGAGAAAACTGCACTCTACTGGTTAAACTGGGCATTTAGATGGAATTTCAGAATCAACTTTAACCAGAATCGTCTTTAATGGCCAAGTGTGTTTGAACATACAGGACTCTGACTCGGGTACAGAGTCTCTGTGTGTTTTAAGGCAACAGCAAATGGAAAATAAACAATGTGTGCATTCAAAATAGGAAATGAATGGAGGGAAAACAGAGACAGAATTTAGAAGTATACATTATGTACATAGATATACATTACGCCATAAGAGCTTTCAGACTGATATATGCAGTGGTTATATTCATAGTTTATTGCACTGTGGTGAATGTAATTGGGGTGACTGTGGTTCGGTGGGTAGAGTAGTCGTCTCCCAACCGGAGGTTCAGAGGTTTGAATCTCGGTGCCTCCAGTCCACGTGTCGAAGTGTCCTTGGGCAAGACATTGAACCCCCAAGTTGCCCCCGATGGTTAGAGCAATCGGTTGAGTTGGCGCCATCGGTTCTGTACCGGAAACAAATTCCTTGTGTGTAACATAGTTGGCCAATAAAGGTGATTATCCTTATCCTTAACTGGTAAAGCAGAATGGATGGTGGATCATCTTTAAAATCTAACACAGAAGAGCTAAATAAAGATGATCTGTACCAGAAAACCCCTGTCAGTATAAAGATATTAGCTTGAATCACTGTTTGAGGAGAAAACAGCATTTAACTGGTTGCACTGGTCCTTTAGAAGTACTTAAACTGGTACAAAGGTTCTGGATGGTTCATAGGCTTAAAACATTGTATGTTATTATATGTTCTGGCAGACTGAGATGGTTTGGACAGAGAATATGATTTTCTGCCTGTCACAAAACTCACTTTCCTCATTAACAATGATTAGACTGACATGAAATATTGGTCCTGCTGGTGGTACTGCACTATCACTTAATATTTCCAGTGGGGGAGGAAGTACTCAGATTCTTTACCTAAGAAAAGTTGTGAATAACACAGTGTAAAAATATTCTGTTACAAGTAAATCTCCTGGATTCAAACAGTTAAGTACAAAAGAATACTGCATTCTACTGCTTGTACTGGATCCTTAGAGGTACTGAGACTGGTAGAAAGGACTCGATGGTGTGCAGCCTACAACACAAATGTACACACAGTCAGTAGAGTGAGTTTCTTTATTTTATATGCAGCCCACATCAGCGAGGTCCCAGTCCAGACCACAGTCACTTCCTGGCACAGCAGAGATTTTGTTACGTTGGGTCGTAAAATGACGATGTTTCAATTGGATCTTGTCGCTGCTTTTGTAATTGGCTTTAATCTTTAATGATAATTTTTTTTAAATGACTCCATCAGTTTTGGTTTTGACAGAAAGGATAAAAATCAACACCATTGTTTGTGTCAACCTTTTCTTCAGCATTTTAAAGGAGACGGTACTCAGATCCTTTTAATAGCAATACTACAGTGTAGAAGTACACAAGTAAAGGTTCTGCATTCAAAATCTTACTTGTGTGAAAGTACAAAAGTATTGGCATCAAAATAAGTACCAACAGTACCAGTACTCATCCAGCAGAATGGCCCATTTCACATAGTCTATCATGTTATTGGATGATGGTAGTAATGTAACTTTACTCGAGTATTTTCATGTCCTCCTCCTTCATCCTGTGACTCCATGTCAGAGACAAACTGTGTACTTTTTACTACACTACATGTACCTGATAACTTCGAGTCCTTTCCAGAATCAGTTGAACCCCCTTTCCCAGCTACAGCATTAAAGTGATGGACACAGTAATTAGTCACTATGATTCAGTATCGGAGACGTTACTGGGACACGGGCAGTTCTGCAGGACGAGTACTGGTAGTTAAACTATATTATGATGCTGATACTTTTGTACTTAACTGTTTGAATCCAGGAGATTTACTTGTAACAGAATATTTTTACACTGTAGTATTACAACTTTTCTTAGGTAAAGATTCTGAGTACTTCCTCCCCCACTGGAAATATTAAATGATAGTGCAGTACCACCAGCAGGACCAATATTTCATGTCAGTCTAATCATTGTTAATGAGGAAAGTGAGTTTTGTGACAGGCCACAGAAACAGAAGTCCCACAATCATTAGTTCTGTATTTATTAATTACATGTAACAATTTACATCATGTACATTTTGAATCATGTGGTGAGGGTTAAGGGTTGAACGCCGTCCTCTCTCCATCACTGATTCAGTCCTGTTTCTACTTTGCAGAGAGCGTCTGCTGAAGGCTTCTGAACCGCAGCAGCTCCTGGTCTGAAACAGATGGTCTGAAGTTTTCCAACGCTGCAGCGAAATCCTCAACGGCGAGGAGGACAGGAGAGTCCTCCGAGTCCAGACCTGAGAGAGAGGTTCCATCATTAATCATAGTCACGTAAAAGGTCACTTTGGTTTTCTCAGACCTGCTGCATTTCCCCCAGAAGTGGTGCTAATGTCGCTACCACTACCTCTGTTGTAGAGATTGGTGGTAAGGAAAGGTCACGTTAAATGGGCACGACCAATTCAACCGGTTAAATGGCGCCACCGAGGCAACCTGTTAGACTGAGTGTACATCCAGGTCTGGATGTAACAACAGGTTGACCTGCTGACTGGCGTGATCACATGATCATCCTCTGCATCCAGCTGTATCTTGTATCTGCTTTCCTTCTGAGAAATGTGACTGACATCAAATCTATTCTGAGCTTTCGGAGGCTAACAGGTCGCCTTGGTGGTGCTGTTTAACAGGTTGTCTCAGTGACACCGTTTAATGTGACCTTTCCTTACCATCAATCTCTACAACAGAGGTAGTGATAGCAACATTAGCTCTAGCTACAGTGTCACCACACCCACTTCTGGAGGAAATGCAGCGGGTTAGATAAAACTGAAGTAGCCCTTTGACTGCTGGCTTCATCCAAGACAAAGTGACGACATTCATACCCTGCAGTAAAACAGAGGAACATCAGAGTTGGCCCACTGGCTGCCTCCTTGGTGTCTTATGTGCATCCACGTTTCCCTGACTTGTGTTTTTTCTTGCATCTTAATCCTACCCACTTAAGATGCAAGGTCAAGACTTAGTGGAACTGAGTCCCCACCAAAACGGTTGAGAGTACACAAACCGCATTTGGAGCGCTACTGAGTTTGCAGCTCAGCATCTGAGTGCACACAGACGAGTAAGAGCAGAATCAGGTCTGAGAGTGAGGGTGGACAGAATTCCTCACTCTCGGATGCTGAGCTGCAAACTCAGTAGCGCTCCAAATGTGGTTTGTGCACTCTCAAATGTTTTGGGAGGGGTTTACTTCCATAAGATGTGGAGGAAACACACTGGGTACATCCCAAGTTTCTTCTATGACTGTTCAGCTCTGAGGAGAGAGGAGGCTGTTGGAGGAGCCATGAGAGCCTTTACAGACGTGTTGGATGAATCGACTTGCCCCTTGTGACAAGATGTGTTGGATGAATCGACTTGACCCTTTGTCAGAAATTAGTTGGTGATTGGATGCTTTACATGAAGAGATCGGAGGAGAGGACGTCTCATGTTGCTAATGATGCGTTTCCTTGAGACCTTTCTCTTTGGGTGGGACTAGGACACAAGGAGAAGATGGTGCTTGTTAGAGACTTGGGATGTTCCCAGAAATAGAGACGCGAGATGTCCTTTACTCAGATCCTTCATCTGAAGAATCTAATCACCAGCTGATTTTTGATAAAGTGGCATCGGTTCACCCAAGACTTGATGAAGGATGCTGGGACAATCATCTAAGGAGAGGCAGCACTGCACTGTGGTTGCAGCCAGCCTCTGCTTCAGAAGAATGAATCTGACTACCTACGTTCTAACTCCTGTAAGTCCAGGGTTGTTCTGAATCATAGACTAAATAAATGTTTTGTGACAGTGTCAGTATTAACACAGTGCTTTGGTTATACTGTATCTGTGTACCGTCATGCCAATAAAGCCATTTCAATGTCAAACTGAAATCCCAAGAGATGATTCTCCATCTTGTGCACATAGCAAACGTTTGTGCTTCCTCTTGTGTTTGCATAATCTGTGGGTTATGTAGATGACTGTTTTCTCTGCTGCAGGTTTGTTACACCCTCAGAACTGTTTTATTTTGAAGGCCATAAAGTGAATTTGCTGATGCTCAGACCCAGAACCAGGTCTGCTTCACCTGCTGTATATTTTAGTGGTGGACCTGTGTTTACCCCTGAGAGCTCGGACCAGAATGATGACGAAACAAGCTGCAGTTCTTTCACAGCACATTTCAAAGAGAATCGTCGTCTCTCGGGACTTCAGGGCTCAGTGTGTGTTGAAATGTCAGAGCAGCTGTTTGGTTTCTTACCGTGGTCGATCAGCAAGATCTTCCTCTTGATGGCGACCGTCATGGCGTCTGAACAGAGGGCGTAAAGGTCGGCGCCGGTCATGTGACGAGGACAACGCTCCACCACCTCCTGCAGGTTCACATCAGCATCCAACTGGAACCTGAAGCCGAGAGTCAAGCAAGTTGTTTCAGACACACAGCTGAAGTTTCTGGTGTTTCCCTCTAAGTGGCTCAGATCTGACGTTTCCACTAAAGTGTGAACAAAGCAGACCGGGGGTGTTCTCTGTCCAGATCCCAGATCAAATCAGCAATCCTGGATTTGATCTTATCTGGATATTTCAGTTCTCCTCCTGTGTAGTGGATTAGAAAAACTGGATTCAGTCATCCTAGATTAGTGCATGCGCTTATGGTCGGTGACTAGACTGACAGCTGAAACCATGATCAGCTGGTTTCTGATTGGCTACACGCAGAGCGAGCTGTGGCTGCAGGGTGACGAGGAATTTAAAGATTTGATTTGCACCTAACTACAGAAGCCAAATGCAGAGAAGTGGCTGAAAATAAATGTGAGTATCCCACTGAAACCGTAAGATCAGTTTGTAGTATCTTTGTTTAATGTGTGACCCTGTGCACCGCCACGTGCTCACACACACGTTGCCATGACGACAAGTCCCATGAGACTAGCCACGTGCTCACACACACACATTGCCATGACGACAAGTCCCATGAGACTTTGGGACAGCCAACAGATCTGGGATCATGAGAAATACATTTACAGTGCCTTGCGAAAGTATTCGGCCCCCTTGAACTTTGCGACCTTTTGCCACATTTCAGGCTTCAAACATAAAGATATAAAACTGTAATTTTTTGTGAAGAATCAACAATAAGTGGGACACAATCATGAAGTGGAACAAAATTTATTGGCTGAATCAGATGTGCAGGTGGAGGTTTCTCAGGGGAAAAGTGTTTGAAAGCACATGAACTGTCACATTAGACCTGCAGTAGCAGAATATTGGCCACTTGGTGGCAGCAGAACACGGGACACACTGACACACTATTGGCTTAACCAGTAGTTTTGTCTGAAACACTGAACCAGACAGAAAATAAGGAGCAAGACTAGAAGCTAAGAGATGCTTAAGAAGCTGCAGAGACGTGACACCCTCCAGACGACAGGTGTGACCTGTTAATAAGAAATCTTCATCGTGGCTGTGGCTGTCGTCTCAGTGAGACTGTATTTGGTCAACATGGAATCACAACTGTGTGCATGTATCTCTGTGTGGACAGATGTCAGGTTGAGGGCCTGATGTCCAGTCCTCACACCCTCAACCAGCTGTTTGAGGATTCAGACCTGGTCTTAGGTCAGGTTAGAATCAGGTTTAGGCCATGGTAAGGGACTAGAGGGATGCATTATGTCAGTGAGTGGCTTCACAAAACAGAAAGGACAACGTGTGTGTGTGACCTCTGACCTGCCGGGCCTCAATAGCGACTGGTCCAGCAGGTCTGGACGGTTCGTGGCTCCGATCACAAAAACCCCGACCGACGACTGCAGGGCGTCGAGCTCGGCCAACAGCTGAGACACGACTCTGTGTAGAGATTCAACCAAACCTTATTGATCCTGCTGCAGCTGAACACAGAAGGCTTCACCATGAAAGTCAAGACTCAAACAGTGAAGTTAAACCGGAAGAAAGACAGTTTGAACACAGGTAAATCCTCACCTGTCCATGACTCCTCCTGAGTCTCCACTGCGGCCCCTGCTGGGAGCCAGAGAGTCCAGCTCATCAAAGAAGATGACACAGGGAGCAGCTGAGCGCGCTCGGCTGAACACTGGGCACAACACACAAACACGGCAGCGTCAGTGTTTCCTGTTCCACTCCCCCTCCTACAAACTAACTGTTTGGATGTAACTGAAATGGAAGGACGCCAACATCTTAATGGAAGAGCTAAAGGCTTCAATAAGCCACCAGGTGACGCCACGCTAGATGTTTTACATATATGAAGTTCAACGCTAACTGGTTTTATTTTCCAAGCCAACACATCAACATGCACGTAAACCTACCTGTCAGAAGCTCTTAGACTACTGAACAGACTCAAGTGTCACGAACAGAGAAAACAATACGACAGTGTTCACTGAACGACATTCTGATTGAACAGACTGAAGTGTCACGAACAGAGAAAACGATCCGACAGTGTTCACTGAACGACATTCTGACAATTATACTAAATAGTTTGTCTAATTTAGTCTCGAGTTTTGTTAATCTAGACAAAGATTTTAGCTTCATCTGTTTGCTGCATTTTTAATCTTTATATTTCCTGAACCCTTTGAGGCTACAGCGGTCGCCATCTTTGTGATGGACAGTTACCATGGTTACACCACGTCACTTCCTGATCAGTGATGTCAGCATGCTGCTTTTTATTTAGTCTCATTTTTGTCCTGACAAAAGATCATCAATGGATATTTCTGTCATGGTTTTCAGTGGATAAATTAACATCGCTAGTCAATTTAACTTTTATAAAAACTAATAAGTGGCTGTTTACCAGGACAAACATTTAACAGACTGGTCACTAGTTGTTTGTGTTAAATCCAGTGAGAAAATCTGTAAGTTGACAAAACTGGCCACAAATTGTGTTAGAAAATATGACTGTTACTTTGGTTGGTTGTTTACAGTATATATTTATTAAACCTCTGTCTTTGAGAACAACTTTTTTTTATTTCTTCATTTGTTTTTATGCTTCTTTTCTTAAAGCCGTTTGACAGCAGTGTTAATTCTGACTCCTGAATTTGATGAAAACTTTTTTAGTCTTTTGATTTCTGTTAGTTTTGGTCATTCTTAAACTGCATTTTTAATATTATAGTCATAGTTCTTATCAAATGTTAGTTTTTACTTAAATTTTCATCCTGAAAACAGGTCGTCAATTTGTTGTCATAGTTAATGATATTACCACTGTTTGAGAGCAAAGTTATATTAATAAAGTTTTTAGGATAACTCAGGCTTTATTAAAACCGTGGTCGTCCGGTCACATGACTTCCTCTAGCTTCAGCCTCATGGTGGATTAGCAACCTGCTGTCTCGTCAGTATTTGGTACCAACCTTCTCTGATGTTCTCTTCACTCTGACCCACGTACATGTTGATGAGCTCTGGACCTTTAACGCTGGACAAACAGAAGCATCCATCAGCAGCAGCTCAAAAACAATGATGACAACCTGATAAAACAAAACATGTTGCTGTGTGTGTGTGTGTGTGTGTGTGTGTCAGCAGCTCCTTCCATCTTTTTTCTGGACACGAATGTTGTGTTAATGCATCTGAACTGAAGCTGGAAATGTGTTAATGCATCTGAACTGAAGCTGGAGATGCAGCTTTCAGCATCTGTGCTTCACATATCTGAACAAACTCCCAGGAAACCTGAGACACTGTTAAACTGTTCACATCCAGCACTGTGACTTTTTTATTCTTCTGTTTAAAACTTATTGTATTTTAAGTCAGTTTTAAGCCTTTCAGTTCCATTTCTGCCTTTTGTTAATCAAATGTTATTTAGGTGGCACATTTAAAAACAACCAGTTGTACCAAAGTGCTTCACAAGCATCTAATTAAATCACCTGAACCATCACAACCACAGGAATTAAAACACCAGAAACCTGCTCATGAAAACGTCCCAGGACAAGCAGAAACAGGAGCCCGCCGGGTTGCTGCTTTTAAAACCAAGAAAGGAAACGGCAAACGTGTCTCGCTCTGATTGTGACACAAAGGCCAGTGGGTGTTGAGCAGTGATTTGAAAGATGCCAATTTAACATTTATCAGCAGCTATTCCAGAGCTTAGGCGAGCCCAGTGGCACCAGTGTCCAGACTTAGACTGGGAGAGCCCCATCTGGGTCGAGGATCTTAATGACTTTACTGGACTGTGGTCACGTTAGGCTCAGAGAGGGAAGGAGCTGCCAGAGCTTTAAAACCAAGCAGTGAGGTGAAGGTGTTCCTACCTGAGGAAGGTCATGGAGCATTCAGTGGCCACAGCTTTGGCCAACAGGGTTTTCCCTGTCCCGGGCGGTCCATACAGCAGGACTCCGGTCCGGTTCAGACCCAGAGACAGGAGCTCCGGATGCTGCAGAGGCAGCTGCACCGTGTCCAGGATCTCTTTCTTCACCTGCTGCAGACCTCCGACATCCTCCCAGCGCACATTGGGGATCTGTTCACACAGAGAGGCGGGTTAGGCTCAGACCAGGCACAGGACGAGAACATGACAGCAGAAGAAACAGCTGCTTCAGACGGGTCTGTCCTGGTCGCATTACATGACACGTTATTGTCTCATACGACTAATATGTCGACTTAGTTTAAACATCCAGCAGACACAGAGCGGCTGGACTGTGTCTGTGTCCCCCGGGCTCCGGCTCTCCTTCAGCTGAGATAGTCTGCCGTGTTCAGGCACTAAATCAAGTTTTAGTTTCCTCAAGCTGCGTTCACATCCCAGGTCTTAACGCTCAGGTCTGATCATTTTGTGTTGGGGCTTCACATCCATGTGTGTTAGCGACATGTACCCGGCTCCTAAACTGACCGGTCTGACGGCGCTCGCACAGTCAGAGGTCGGACAGGAATCAGATACACAGGTGGCCCAGATCTGGTCTGAGGACACCTGGTCTGGTCTGTTCACACTGCTGTGGACACACCAGGTCTGACTCCTGGACGGAAGCTATGAACGCAGCTTTAGAGTCCTGTGCTGAACTGTGTGTTACCACCTTCGGGGCTCTGTGAACGCAGCTTTAGAGTCTTTCTGTGCTGAACTGTGTGTTACCACCTTTGGGGCTCCGATGGCCTTGGACTGGGCGTCCTGCAGGGTCTCCAGGGCGGAGGTGAAGTCCTGGTTCAGGATGGTCACTCCACTGCAGCAGAGATCCTCCTCCTGGCAATCGCCACTGCACAAACAACAGGCGTCTCAGAGTAGGACCTGGTCAGTGCGACTCACTTTAACTTATGACTCCCACCTCAGCCACAGAGGAGATGAATATTCTTCAGCTTTCAGATGATAATAATAATTCTAATTATTGTTGCTACCTATTTAAAACAACAGCAGGGAGATAACATGTGGGAGATGATGCTATTGTTCTGGTGCAGCTCCAAAACAGGGTGACACCAGAGAATGTTTTTTCTTTGAATGCAGGAAACATGAGAGGTGTAAGTGGAAGGTGACGTGCACAGCGGAGATGGTCGGGCACAGTTTCATTCAGCACTGCAGTCTGTCTGCTGTGTGCAGGATGCATCTAATCTAACATTGGCAGATAAAGCAGTCTGTAACTGTCCCAACGCCACCGGTGTTTCTAGAACCAGTCCTTCACTAAACGAGTCCAGCGAGGCCGCGTTTTCCCTACGACCATTTAAAATGAGACTTTAGTTTGGTTTGATGTAGTGGAGTCTCACCGGGTGTGGCTCAGCCTCCTGCAGGCAGCTCGTCCAGCTTCAACCAGCAGAGCGCTCAGGTCCCCCAAGACAAAACCCTGGGGGGGGGGGAGAAACTACTGTTAATGAGGGAGCTGAGGAAACACACGTTTTCACATCGCAGGCCTAAATGCTTGGCTCTGATGTTTCAGTCAGATTGTGTTGTGTTGATGCTTCACCGGCTCCAGTGTGAACACTGTGTACTGGTCTGACTGGTCTGGGTCCTGACTGTCTACTGACTGATTTCAATGTTTCAGTGGTGACGCACTGCGGTGAGCTTGGCCAGGTGCTCCACGTTGACGTCTCTGCCCAGGTGAAGGTCTCGGCTCAGGCTGACCAGCATAGAGCGCCGCTGCTCCTCAGTTGGGCTCTCCAACGCCACCTGGTGGACGAATGCTGCCACCACACCTGCAGACAGATCCCGCGGTCTGCAGGCTGTCGCCACCACCACCACACTGGAACACACACACCACCGTGTTACATTCCTCTGAGTTGTGACTCACTCGGGTCAAACAGCAGCTACAGCTGCTGGTCTGTCAGTCAGTTTACTGTCAGCGACCTGATGGGGGCGCTGCGGAGCAGCTGGCACAGCACCGCCTCCACCCTGCCGTCCTCCTCGGAGGCCCCTCTGCGTCTGAGCAGCAGCTGCAGGTTCCTGAGCAGCAGGATGCAGGGCTGCAGCGCGTCGGCCCGCTGAAACACCGACACCAGCTTCACCTCCGTGGCTGCAGGTGTGTCAGCGCATACGCTCACACAGTCCACCTGTGCACAGGTAACGGCAGGAGGCCAAAACCAACAAGTGAGGAAACGCCATGGGAACCTGCTGTGTTTACTCTGAGCAGGCTTGTCTGTGAGACGGTTCGATGTCAGATTTAATATATGTACAGTTTAATATGTATTTATAAAAACTTCAGTAGCCAAAGTATGAATTACTGGGGATATTTAAAAGTTACATAAATGATGTAAAATGAAGTAAGTTAGACCTTTTCTGTCGCTGTGTTTGTTTAAGAAATCCAAGCTTTAAAAAAACACCAACAAAACTTTGCATCAATCTCGATCAGAGTGCAGCAGACTGTACATCTTAAACCTGAAATGATAAATCTGGTGACACCAGTCAAAGCAATCTGACAGGTTCACGGTTTAATTTAACGAAATCCTGGAAACTTTCAGATCCATCACAAAGGTTCATTGTCTGACTGTTGGGGCTGATCACACAGGAGGAGGATGAGCAGTAAAAGTCCAGATGAATTATTCAGACAAACATGTCTGTGAGTTCAGGCCTCGTACCTTCAGCAGGTGGAGGTTCAGTCTGCGACTCGCCGCACTCAAAGCCGTCACCTTCCCACTTCCTGCCGGACCGTGAAGTAGGATGGTACAACCAGACAGAGAGCCGCTGCAATGGAACACGACACTGACATCACCGATCACATGACATGTCCCATCATGCCTTGCTCTATGGTACTCCTGACATTAGACCAGTTGGTGCAGATCCTACTCACCTGTGCTGCAGGTGTGGCAGGACAATGCTGCTGATGAGCTCCACTGTCTTGTTGAGGCCTGGAGGCGACAGACTGCTCCACAGACAGGCTCCGCCCACAGGGCAGCCGGGGACGGGGCTATTGGTGGGCGTCCCCTGGGGACACACACAAACATCAGATCTTCAGTGGAGGAAGAAGATGCATGTTTGCAGCCACAGGAAACTCACGCAGCTGAATCGACCTTCAAACTGTTGGAGGTTTTTCATATGTTTCCACATTAACATCCAAAACAAACCTATCATCAACCTAATAGGTGACTAGCGGATGCTTTGTTGCCCTCAGCTCCTCCACTGTCACATCATCCTGTCTGTTTTTAACAAACCACCCTGTGACTCATCTGAAAATTCAAACAATTTGACTAATGGACACCTGACAGAGGTCAAAGGTCACACAGACTCATCAGTCAACAGGTCAACATTTCAACACAGTCAAACACAGATGCTGCTCAGGACTGTAACTGCAAACCTGGCGGCCAGAAGCAGGAGAATCAACCCAGGTTCTCTCTAACAAACTCAGTCATGACTTTGTGCAGAAATTAAACTTTTTCCTTTTACAAAAAAGACAAACGCTACGTCAGTAATGCAATGTTATCAGCAGTTTTTCAAGATACATGAGTGGTGCAAAAATACAGCCTGGTTACAGCAGGAAGAACCTGTTTGTCTAAATGAATCCACCCCACCTGGTCACAGTAATTGTGACAGGCCAAGGTGGAGGTGTGGCAGCGATCTTTGACTCAAGCCTATTAATCCACCTAGACCTAAACATAGTTATAACTTATCTCACCCCGAGTCTCTCACACCCAAACTGTTATTGTTAACTGTCCACCTGCTCCTTATTCAGAGTTTTTAAATAAAGTTTTAAAAATCTTGTTGATGCAGCCTCCCTGTGTACAACACTTGATACCGTTGCCCCTCCGAAAAAGAAGGCATTGAAACAGTGGAGGCCCCGTGGTACAGCTCGCAGCTCCACTCCCTAAAGCAGGCATCACGAAAACTGGAAAGGAGGTGGTGCTCCACTAAGTCAGAAGAGTTTTTCTTAGACTGGAAAGAGAGGTGTGTGTTTCTAATGAGCACCCACCGACCACATCGACCCGACCAGTGTTTGACTCTTTTCTTTTCTCTGTCCTGATCAGTGAGCAGCAATAAAGTTACTGTGCAGGAAAAACCAGGTAGAAGAAGAAACTCCCTGTAATAAACAACCAGAGCAGCAGGACAAGGTGGAGCAACACAGAGGGAGGAAAGTTTCAGTCACATTCCTCAAATGAAAGTGAAAGTTAGTCAGAGCGACAGCAGAACTGCAGTTGAGGGTAGTTTCTGTGCTTGTGTCCAAAGACAAATTCAACCGGGTTCATCGGTTCTTTCTCAGCCACCGACTCAGACACTGGTGAGTACAGCTGATCATGTTTACTGTGTTTCATCAAGCAGCATTAAACTCACAGCTCTGACCAAACTGGAAGTTTATGGCACCAGATCGATTATTTTAGTCTTTGGCACCGAAAAATAAAGTTTGGTATTAAAAACTAAATCGTACCTGGAAAAAAAAAAATAACAGAACCGTAACTGAATAATTGTGTTTTTCAATGCCAAAGCTTTTTTTCACTTCTCTGTCACAGTTTTAGGCTGTGGGGCGGGGCTAAGCAGAGTGTGATGTGCCTACTCTGGCTGAGACCCATGAGGAGAGGACGGCCCTCTTCCCTGAGCCGCTGCCATCATCGAGGCTTCTCAGCTAATGTTAGCTACAGCCTACCTGTAGCTAACATTAGTGCTTCCTGCAGCAGAGCTTTGCCACAGCAGCATAATGTTGGTTCAAAGTGAGCTTTAACATAGTGCAGCTCTGTGAGTAGAGACGCCAGCAGAAAGAAACACAGCAGTGTGAGAGGTACAGCTGAATTCAACAAGGCCGCCCGCTGTAACTCTGCAGCTGTGCTCGGCACACAGAAGCCTCAATGCGGAGGGAAGCTCAGGGGAGAGGGCTGTCCTCTCCTCAGGGGTCTCAGCCAGAATAGGCACATCACACTCTGCTTAGCACCGCCCCTCAATGGTGCCCCCCCCAGGCCAAAACATTGACAGGGAAGCAAGACTGAAAGAAAAAACTTTGCCACTGAAAAACACAGATTGTCATTTTTCCCGTATTAATACTTTTTAATGCCTTTTTTTTATTTATACAAATAGTTCAATGCCAAACTTTCCTTTTCAGTGTCAAACACTAAAGTCATCAATCTGGCGCTACAGAGGTTCTGCTCTTTCATTTCACACTGACACTTGTCAAAGTAACTTAAGTGAAGACGTGACGTTTAGTGACATTAGACTATAGAGAGAAACCTGATTCTGTTCTTCATAACTGCAGTAGTTAGTACAGATGAGTACGTTGCTATGTAAGATGGTTTTTATTCACACTTCCACTTCTGTTCTCAGTGTGTAGACATGTCTGGACAAACTGGAAGTTTATGGCACCAGATCAATAACTTTAGTCTTTGGCACTGAAAAATAAAGATTGGTATTAAAAACAAAATCGTACCTGGGAAAAAAAAAACAACCGTAACTGAATAATTGTGGTTTTCAATGTCATAGTTTTTTCTTTCACTTTCACTTCTCTGTCACTCCAACACCTTCATCTCTGAGATTGTCGCTGAGTTCAGACGTGAAGCCCAACAGAAAGCCAGCAGCAGCAGCTCAGAGCAACAAGCTGCCAAACCAGGAGAAGTTCTCTGTGATGCCTGCACTGGAACCAAAGTGAAGGCCCTGAAGTCCTGCCTGGTGTGTCTGGCCTCCTACTGTGAGACTCACCTGGAGCCTCATCTGACAGCTCCAGGTCTGAAAAAACATCAGTTGGTCAAGCCTGCGGAGAACCTGGAAGGCAGGATGTGTAGGCAGTGCTCTGCTCTGTTTTAGAGCACAGGACACATGAGTTTGTTCCTCTGAAAGAAGAATATGAAGGAAAGAAGGCAGAGCTGGGGAAGACAGAGGCCGAGATTCAGCAGATGATCCAGAAGAGACAAAAGAAGATTGAGGAGCTCAAACAGTCAGATACAATTAATGGAAAAAAAAACAAATTACAACTGAAGCTTGATTAGTTAGCAAATGATCCATACTTCCATCCAAGTCCATACACGTACAGTATATTTTATTTCTATTTTTAGATACATAAGGACAAGAATATAAATAAGTTTAATTGTTCTGTGCCTAACACTGCTGTATTTGAGTAAACCAAACCAAAACCTGACCTATACAGTAGCTGAATGAAGAAACCATGCTTTAGTTATGGTATTGATGATTCTGAGTGAACCTTGCCAAATTGGAAATAAGCCACTTTGATTATTTTGAATGAAGTAGTGATTTATTATTATTACTTTTTTTTACGTCAGAACCCTTGGAGGAGACACTCAGTAACGAGATGAAGAAGTTGCTTGCTGAGGTTGAGCTGAAGAGGCTCCAGCAGTTTGCAGTGGATGTGACTCTGGACCCTGATACAGCACATCCTAACCTCATCCTGTCTGATGATGGGAAACAAGTAATTCACGGTGATGTGTGGAAGAATCTCCCAGACAAACCAGAGAGATTTTCTGATTGTGTTAGTGTCTTAGGAAAGCAGAGTTTCTCTTCAGGCAGATTTTACTTTGAGGTTCAGGTCAAAGGAAAAACTGAGTGGGATTTAGGAGTGGCCAGAGAGTCAGTCAACAGGAAGGGAAAAATCACACTGAGACCTCGCTATGGTTACTGGACTGTATGGCTGAGAAATGGAAATAAGTACAGAGCTAATGCTGACTCTCCAGTTGATCTCTCCCTGAAGTCTGGGCCTGAGAACGTGGGGGTGTTTGTGGATTACGAGGAGGGTCTGGTCTCCTTTTATGACGTAGATGTTGCAGCTCTTATCTACTCCTTTACTGGCTGCTGCTTCACTGAGAAACTCTACCCGTACTTCAGTGCCTGTTTTAATGATGGTGGTACAAACTCTGCTCCTCTGATCATCTGTCCTGTCAATCAAACTGCCTGATCTTGTTTAGGATAAAGTTCAACAGTTCACAGTATATCAAGTTAAAAGTGTTGCACTGGTATGTGTCGGCTGGTTTTGTGTCCGACATCACATCCCATGTTCCAGATTTTAATTCTGCAGGTGTGAACAGTCTGAGCTCAGAAATGAACTGTGTCTATTCAGTGACACGACCAGGTCACAACACGGGAGACTAACTGTGGCGTTTAAAGACGACGTTCAGCTGCAAACGCACGTCCGTCACCCAGAGTTCACTGCTCAGTGAGGACACTGAGGCTGCGGTGTTTTATATTTGAATATAGTCTTGGTCACATGGCTTGTGTTTTCTTCTCTATGTAAACTGTGGAGAATCAAGTAGCCGTCACAGCCTGTGTCAGATTCAGTCCTGGCTGATCTATGTCAGGTGAAAACCTGCTCAGCAGCTCGGGAGAGTGTTGCTCTCCTCCAGAGTCCTGACAGGAACGCAGAGTTTAAGCTCCCTCCAAAGATGTTCTATTGGATTGAGGTCTGGAGACTGGCTAGGCCACTCCAGAACCTTGATATGCTTCTTACGGAG